GGGGGGGGGATAAAAGCATAAAATTTATATAACTTCAAGTTACGTTTTATCCTGGTGTGACTAGACATTGGAGAGTAATTACCATCACACTAGCATTTTCCCCTCAATTTTTGTGTTTCTACATCGCGGAATTCCTCCCTGACGAAGAGCACAGCGTTTTCGTTTGATTAGTCTTGATATTGTGTTACGGAGAACCTCTATTACTGAATGATAAAGTAAAAGACTCAACCAACTATCCTAAAATACATCTCCTTACAATACAATAGTCTCTGTCACGATGATTAAAATTAACGTAACTGTATATAGATTAATATAATTCTCCTACATACAGAAATACAAACACAAGCGAATGAGAGGTGTAACTGCTGAATGGATGAGTAAAAGGTGTTTTATAAACTAAATAGAAGTGTCATTTCTTCTGGAACTGATAAGTGCTGTAAACTACATCAAAGCGCTGAACTGATAAGACTAAAGCAATAAACGTGCAGTGCAAAAATACGTGAGTGCGAACAGTGAAATGACTCCATGAAATTACTATTATACTGTGCTATGATTAGTGTTAGGATTAACCTGTAGTGTGGAAGGTGAGTGAGTGGGGTGAATGTCTAGGTCATCATTCAATTAATGATGTATTGTGGTCTAAGTGAATAATAAATATGTAATAAGTGAAGTTATTCACTGGATTTATGTTTCCATTTATTTCTACCTGTGGCTCGCAGTTTCCCTTCTCAATAAACATGAATAAATTAGAAAAAAATAATCTTGCAGATCTTAATAAAGTAATGAATTAATAAGTAAGTAGTATTACAACCACACTAATCTTATGGGAAAGTAAACACAATATCTCGGGCAAAAGGGTGATAAATGTATTCCATAATAATGGATTGCATGTGAAATAACCAAGTGATAAACATATAAGTTCTATAATAATTGAATACTCAGAATAAAATATATTTCTTGAGCAAAGTGTGACACTCTCTTTAACAAAATAACATTCAAATTAAAGTAATACGTATCTGGATGCTTATGTAATTTCTAGGACCAGCTTGTCTAAATGGGAGTAGTGTTCTCTGCCAGTGTTATAGGATTGAGCCATTTGCATGAGGAAAGTTGAAAGTAGTCCTAGTGTGATATGGTCTGTTAAAGCTCTTGTTAGATCTTGCATTTATGATTTATGTTTGTATTGGCCGTCAATATACATCATCATAATAGTCACGTTTCACGAAATTTTGACTTAAACTTGAAATCTGATCTACATTCATTTGTGGGTAATATGGAGAAGTGCCTTCAGTTTTCAATTCAAGTTACAGTTTGTGTGTATTTATATATGTGTGCATATAAGTATGTGTATATATATACATACATATACAAGCATATACATACACACATATATATTTACTGTAACTTAAAATGAAAACTGTGTGTGTATATGTATATATAGGTATGTATATATGCGTATATATACGTATGTATATAGTGTATATATGTGTCTGTATAAATGTATATATGTATGTATTAATGTATGTATAAGTATGCATTTGTACATGATGTATATGTATCTGTATCTATATGTATATGTATGCATATGTATACGTATGAATATGTATATAGAAATATACACATCTATATATACACGCATATGTGTATATATGTATATATACATATATTATATATGTTTTGTATATATACATATATATAGTGAATATGCATATATATATTTCTGTAAATCTCACATACAACTACATTTTGCATGTACATACATCGCAAATGTGCACTGCTCAGAGAGGTTAGTCAGAATTATGAAAAAATCATTTTTGGAGTTTATTTCTGATAGAATTTCAAGAGATTTTTCGAAGATCATCGGGTCGTTTCCACATCAAGGTTTTCAATGCAGCTGAAAGTCGGAAATATCGTTATCCGTAAAAGCCACCGCGATAGCCTCCGTATCCATAGCCTCCGTATCCATATCCACGACCTCCGTAACCACCGTATCCACCATACCCGCCATATCCACCGTAACGTCGGTAGCCAGGGTCAGCCACGGGGTCAGGCTCAGGCATGGCACTGCTCCAGCTCACCAGGCATGACAGAGCCACCGCCAGGACCATAACTATCGACAGCTGCAGACAAATAATTAAAAAATGAAAATAAAAATAAAATCAATAATATAAGATTAAAAAAGGAAATGTAGTATAAGGTTTCCTACAGATTACCTACAGATTTTTTTTTTTTTTTATCAGCCTTAAAGGATGTTTGTGGCATTTATCCTGTGTATCAGTTTGACATTCCTTTGTTAAACTGTGACGTTCTACTGAAACTTCTCAAGAATATGACTGTGAATCTTCCTGTATCTTCTCAGCAACCAACTTTTGATATCTTACTGTATCTTCTCAACAACATATGAATGTTAATCTTACTTAGCTATCTGTTCCATGAACTTACCAGTTTCATGATGAGGTTATGTTCGCGTTGTTTGTTCAAAGAAGACAACGAAGGGACTATGCATCTACGGCAACGAAAGTCTGACTTATATATGCTGTAGAAAAGACTCAAGGTCACTATTTTACGCAGGGTCCTTGAGCGACATGGAAAGTTTCGCTTCTATGTTTCATAATTAAGTGTAAATTATCTCTGTCTGTCAGTCATTCTTTTTATATTCCGTTATTTCTCACTTTAATTACAGGGGGGTAATTATCCATAAATAAATGTATATGCGTGCGCACAAGCAATTATGTCTGTAAACATAGAGGGATAAGTAAAATTAATAATTGATTGGGACAGATACAGATACATGTACATATATAAATACATATAGTTGTGTATGTGTGCATATATATTTAGTCACATATATAAATGTGTGTATGGATAGGTATAGGTATATACATCTGCATTCATACACAATTTGAGTGTGTGTGTGTGTGTGTATGTTCACATACACACATACATATGTGTATATATGAATATATATGTATAAGTATATATATATATATATGTGTGTGTGTGTGTGTGTGTGTGTATGTGTGTGTATGTACTTCTATATGAACACATGTGTGCATGTATACATATACATATACGTGTATATAAAGAAATATATATATAGACATATATACACATATATGTATGTGTTAATGTAGAAGTACATATATAGTACAGATATATATACTCATGCATATATATTCATACATACACAGTGTACATATACATAAACATATATATAATATATATGTACTTCTATATGAACACATGTGTACATACAAATACATATAAATGTGCATATATATGTATATACACACACATACACACACACACACACACACACACATATATATATATATATATATATATATATATATGTGTGTGTGTGTGTGTTCATATAGAACTATATGTTATATATATATATATAATACAGTGTAATATAATATAGTATAATATATATATAGTGTTATATGTACATATGCAAATATGTTTATATATACATATATATAAATATATATACATATATACTTTTTTTCTTGTGTTTATTTATGTATATGTATGTGTATATGTATATATATATATATATATATATATATATATATATATATATGTATATGTATATATATGTATATATGTATAAATGTATATGTATATATATATGTATATGTATATATATTTATGTACATATATGTGTGTGTATATTTATACATATATAGTTATATATATAAACTTTTTATATGTATGTATATGTATATTTATATATATGATATATAAATTTATATATCTATATATATGTGTGTATATATACATATATACTTATATATACATTTATATATATACATATATATATTGCATATACATATGTATTTAAGAGTGTACATATGTGTGTGACTGCTCTTGTTTTATATGATCTCATTAGCATCTATTTTCACCATTCAAAGTAAATAGACTCCCTGAAAATTGCATAACTTTATGTCGAAATTAGTCTTTTTCACACATGCAATCTTGTTCCACTGACATGGTTTTCGTTTACACACGCACACCACGCACAATACAAATACATAGCCACACGCGCTCTCAAATGCACTAATGTATGTACATATACACATATATACATACATAGACATGACAGATTTAGATATATACATGATCCTATATGTATATGCTCATGCGTATATGTGCGAGCATGCCGAAAAAAGGGTGAATGATCTCACAATCTCACTCCTAAAAACAGTTACCTTGAATCTTTTTCTATAACGTACTGTATATAAATCCAGATCCAAGTTGCTTTGGGAACATAGTGTCCGTTGTCTCCGCTGAGTACAGAACAATCCCCATATTCGTAAACATGAAGCTGGTAAGGAAATGATTCTGCTAATCAAATTTAAACATATCCATGTGTTTGTAGGAAACCAAACCATAATGAATCACACTCTCCCCATGGTAACAGAATATCAATAGCACATTGAGTGAAGTCCCGTGTTGCTACGATCACGAAAAAGTACTTTGCGGTTAAGACTGGGCTAATTCATTTCTTTGTGTTTATTTCTGTATAGCTCTTAATACATGTGCGTTTGTGTTTCTGTGTACGTGTTTGTGAGTCATTCTGTGTATATGAGTTTGTGAGTACATGTGTCTGTGTGTGTGTGTCTGTGTAGGAGGAATGATCTGGTACAGTAATAACATCTAAAACATATGAGTCGGTCTACTCCTTGCATAACTCTTTGAACAATTTCAGAAGTTAATAACACAGAACCTCGAAATGTTACTGATATTGTTTTTGTATTCATCATCAGCTTCATCATTATCAACATTAGTTGTAGTACTATCACAGCTATCATCATTACCATTCTGAATATAGTTTTAGCCATTTGTGTATATATGTGTAATTCAGATAATTTTTGCTTTAGTTTCCATATACATAAATTGTACAAAAAGTATGACAATGGATAAATTTTGACACACATAATTTTAGTTGATTTTTTTTTTTTTTTTTTTTTTTTCGTTTCTCCGTGCAGCTTTCGATGGTTGTGGCCCTGGCTGTGGTCCTGGCATGCCTGGTGAGTTGCAGCAGCGCCATGCCTGAGCCTGACCCCGTGGCTGACCCTGATCCTGCAGCTGACCCTGGATATCGACGCTACGGAGGATATGGATATGGTGGATACGGTGGTTATGGGGGTCGTGGATATGGATACGGAGGTTATGGATATGGAGGATATCGTGGTGGATTTTATGGATAGAGATGTTTCTCATACCAACACATACCTACTGGCCTGAGAGACTTGACAATGTCATGACACTCAATTTATTTTGAATAAACTATGTGTACTAATCAATAAAACAGTGATTACCCTTATTTATAAACACACATATATATTTATATGTGTGTGTGAAAATATATGTATGTATATGTACTTAGATATACAAATCTGGATCTAGGAATATGTGGCATATTTCGTGATTGCCAAGGAAATGCAATAGGAATATATATATATATATATATATATATATATATATATATATATATAATATATATATATATAATATATATATATATACATACACACATATTTGTATGTGTGTATAAGTATATGAATACATATATACATACAATCTACTTATAAATAGATAAATATAAATTCAGATATCGACAGCTAGATAAGTTTAGATACGGATATACAGCTAGATGTGTAAATAGATGCACATATAGTCTACATGTAAGTATACAGATATAAAGCCTCTATGTATCTTGGAGTCTGACTTATTTCTTATCTATGAGAAATAACATAAAAGCAGCCATATATTGAATCAACTTTCTCTGCCTGAGTTTATGTGTTTATGTGTGTTGTGTGTGTGTGTCTGTGTAGGAGGAATGATCTGGTACAGTAATAACATCTAAAACATATGAGTCGGTCTACTCCTTGCATAACTCTTTGAACAATTTCACAAGTTAATAACACAGAACTTCGAAATGTTACTGATATTGTTTTTGTATTCATCATCAGCTTCATCATTATCAACTTTACTTGTAGTACTATCATAGCTATCATCATTACCATTCTGAATATAGTTTTAGCCATTTGTGTATATATGTGTAATTTAGATAATTTTAGCTTTAGTTTCCATATACAGAAATTGTACGAAAAGTATGACAATGGATAAATTTTGACACACATAATTTTAATTGATTTTTTTTTTTTTTTTTTTTTTTCGTTTCTCCTTGCAGCTTTCGATGGTTGTGGCCCTGGCGGTGGCTCTGTCATGCCTGGTGAGCTGGAGCAGCGCCATGCCTGAGCCTGACCCCGTGGCTGACCCTGACCCTGTAGCTGACCCTGGATATCGTCGCTACGGAGGATATGGATATGGTGGATACGGTGGTTATGGGGGTCGTGGATATGGATACGGAGGTTATGGATATGGAGGATATCGTGGTGGATTTTATGGATAGAGATGTTTCTCATACCAACACATACCTACTGGCCTGAGAGAGACTTGAAAATGTCATGACACTGAATTTGTTTTGAATAAACTATGTGTATTAATCAATAAAACAGTGATTACCCTTATTTATAAACACACACATATATTTATATGTGTGTGTGTGAAAATATATGTATGTATATGTACTTAGATATACAAATCTGGATCTAGGAATATGGGGCATATTTCGTGATTGCCAAGGAAATGCAATAGGAATATATGTATATATATACATATATACATATATGTATATATACATATATAGGTATACATACATATATATGGATATAAACTTATATATCATATATATATTTTATATACATATATATATTTTACATACATATATATATTTATATATGCATATATATATATATATATATATATATATATATTATATATATAGTATATAATATATATATATATATATATACATACACACATATTTGTATGTGTGTATAAGTATATGAATACATATATACATACAATCTATTTATAAATAGACAAATATAAATTCAGATATCGACAGCTAGATAAGTTTAGATACGGATATACAGCTAGATGTGTAAATAGATGCACATATAGTCTACATGTAAGTATACAGATATAAAGCCTCTATGTATCTTGGAGTCTGACTTATTTCTTATCTATGAAAAATAACATAAAAGCAGCCATATATTGAATCAACTTTCTCTGCCTGAGTTTATGTGTTTATGTGTGTTTGTTAATACAAATGTGGATATGTATATGACCTTCAATAAGCATGCCGGTTTTTATATTTGTATTTATGTCTACATTATATAGTTACATACACACATGTATATATATATATATATATATATATATATATATATATATATATATATATATATATATATAATATATATATGCATATATAAATATATATATGTATGTAAAATATATATATGTATATAATATATATAGTGTATATAATATATATATATATATATACATACACACATATTTGTATGTGTGTATAAGTATATGAATACATATATACATACAATCTATTTATAAATAGACAAATATAAATTCAGATATCGACAGCTAGATAAGTTTAGATACGGATATACAGCTAGATGTGTAAATAGATACACATATAGTCTACATGTAAGTATACAGATATAAAGCCTCTATGTATCTTGGAGTCTGACTTATTTCTTATCTATGAGAAATAACATAAAAGCAGCCATATACTGAATCAACTTTCTCTGCCTGAGTTTATGTGTTTATGTGTGTTTGTTAATACAAATGTGGATATGTATATGACCTTCAATAAGCATGCCGGTTTTTATATTTGTATTTATGTCTACATTATATAGTTACATACACACATGTATATATATATATATATATATATATATATATATATATATATATATATATATATATATATATATATATATATGCATATATAAATATATATATGTATGTAAAATATATATATGTATATAAAATATATATATGATATATAAGTTTATATACCTATATATGTATGTAAAATATATATATGTATGTATACCTATATATGTATATATATACATATATGTATATATGTATATATATACATATATATAGATACGCATGTGTATGTATGCGTGTAAATGTGTGTGAATTTGTATATACATATATATATATATAATATATATATATATATATATATATCTGCAGATATATACATATATATATATATATATATATCTGCAGATATATACATATATATGTATGTATACCTATATATGTATATATATACATATATATATATATATATATCTGCAGATATATACATATATATGTATGTATACCTATATATGTATATATATACATATATATATATATATCTGCAGATATATACATATATATGTATGTAAAATATATATATGTATATATATACATATATGTATATATGTATATATATACATATATATGTATGTAAAATATATATATGTATGTATACCTATATATGTATATATATACATATATATATATATATATATCTGCAGATATATACATATATATGTATGTAAAATATATATATGTATGTATACCTATATATGTATATATATACATATATATGTATGTAAAATATATATATGTATGTAAAATATATATATGTATATATATACATATATATATATATATATATTATATATATATATATCTGCAGATATATACATATATATGTATGTATACCTATATATGTATATATATACATATATATGTATGTATACCTATATATGTATATATATACATATATATGTATGTATACCTATATATGTATATATATACATATATGTATATATGTATATATATACATATATATAGATACGCATGTGTATGTATGCGTGTAAATGTGTGTGAATTTGTATATACATATATATGTATGTCTGAATATAGATAAGTACATATACATACATATGCATAGATACCCATGAACACATATATATGTATATATATACATATATATATATATATATCTGCAGATATATACATATATATAGATACGCATGTGTATGTATGCGTGTAAATGTGTGTGAATTTGTATATACATATATATGTATGTATACCTATATATGTATATATATACATATATATGTATGTCTGAATATAGATAAGTACATATACATACATATGCATAGATACCCATGAACACATATATATGTATATATATACATATATATATATATATCTGCAGATATATACATATATATATATATATCTGCAGATATATACATATATATGTATGTAAAATATATATATGTATGTAAAATATATATATGTATGTATACCTATATATGTATATATATACATATATATATATATATATCTGCAGATATATACATATATATATATATATATATCTGCAGATATATACATATATATGTATGTAAAATATATATATGTATATATATACATATATATATATATATATGCATATATAAATATATATATGTATGTAAAATATATATATGTATGTAAAATATATATATGTATATATATACATATATGTATATATAGATGTATATACATATATATAGATACGCATGTGTATGTATGCGTGTAAATGTGTGTGAATTTGTATATACATATATATGTATGTCTGAATATAGATAAGTACATATACATACATATGCATAGATACCCATGAACACATATATATGTATATATATATAGATAAATATAAACCACACACACATATATGTGTATATACGCACATATATCTACTTATATATATGTGTGTGTGTGTGTGTGCCTATGTATGTATGCATGCATGTATGCATGCCTTGTTCTAGGTTCTATCGTTAGCTGCCATTCCATCGTCCAAAGAAATTAAAAGATCGCCTGATTGTTGCATAACTAAAGGATAATATAAGTCTTAGATTCATGCAATCTTGCTACATTGACATAGTTCTCGTATATACACAACTTCCCGATGGCTAGACATACACATATAGCTCCACTTAAATGTACGCACACACCTATATATACATACATATATATATATATATATATATATATATATATATATATATATATCTGCAGATATATATTCATATATATGTGTATATGTGTTTAAACAGATATATGTGTGTGTATAAATATCGGACATTTTTAACAGCTGTGTATATGTGCCTGTATGCCTACCTACAAGCACACTCACAAAAGTTATCTTTATTTTTCTGAAACGCAAAGCACAGAGCACAAACATAACTCATAACATGAAATTCGTAAATAAATGAATTGAGATATTCATGGGTAAGTGGGAATACAAGGCATCGTTATAAAGCACACTTACCATGGGAACAAAATGTTTAGTACCCTGACCGAAGTCCCGCGGTGCCACGTTCACGAAAAAGTACTTTGAGGTCAATTCTTACCTTTGTATAATCTGACTTTCTGTTAGTCTATAGTTCACAGTGAATATGCGTATGCGTGTAAGAGGAATATGGTAATAATAGCTAGAACAGTGATACTGATCAGTTCTCGTTAAAGTATACTTTGATCAATTTCTGAAACCAATTACTGAACTTCGATATATCCTTATCATTATTAATTTAGTATTGGTTATAGTTATTTATATTAATGTTATCGCCATTATAGTAATAGAGAAATTAATTTTTTGTCTTCCCTAAGACAAATATTTGCCTGCAATTCTAACTTCCATAACAATTGCCCCTTATAGTATTTTCAATACATTAAAATTTATTTCAGAAACATTTCAAATCATGTTTGAAAACAGTAAGCTTTAGAGCAATTCTTTTCTTAAGTTATTTGTATATATTTACTTATCACATAAAAGAAATGTTCATTAGCACACTACCTCATCCAGTAAACCTCATACACTGGTTTATATTGGATAATTTATTAGTTTACAAAATAACCCAAAGAAAAGGATAAAAACGCAAATGATATACTCTCATTTGAACACTTGAATGTGCATACACATATACTCACAAAAATGTTTCCCTGTGTATGTAAGTCATGTATATTGAGTAAACATATATGTATAAGTATAGAATAATATATACAGATCAGTAAATAAATATATATATGCATATGTGTGTGTGTGCATACATATATATAAGGATCCATACACATATATCGTATATACAGATAGATATAGGCATATATATCATAGTCCCACATTAGATGACGTGTCCCTAAATATGTAAACACATATGAGTCAGCACGTGCGTATGCGTGTTTGTGTGTGTCCGCATCTCTATTTGTAGATATATTAGATATTTTTGTATATTCAAGGACTTTTTGGAACACATTACGCGAGTAGCCTTGGCAATTGCCCTGCAACATATAAAAGGTGTGATTCCTTGCTGTAGGTGCACAGTCCTCGCTGAGTTCACAGCAAGAACATTTTCTCAACATGAAGCTCGTGAGTACACACGTAATTATGAATATATGATTATGGCTTTTTGTGTGGTATCTCATTATTTTCACTAGTATCATCATTATTACAACTGCTATTATTGATAGTGTAGTAATAGCAGTAATATTTATCTTACATTTCATGCAACCCATTACTTTGAGATCGCTTCCAGATTACATCTGTAGAAGGCTAATTAAGAAATGCCCTTTTCATTTCTTGCACTTAACCGTTTTAATTTCATGTCTACAGATCTCGTTTGCTCTGTTGCTGGTGGTGGCCCTGGCATGCCTGGTCAACTGGAGCAGCGCCATGCCTGAGCCTGACCCCGTGGCTGACCCTGACCCTGGCTTCCGTCGCTTCGGTGGATTGGGATATGGTGGATACGGCTACGGAAGTCGTGGATACGGCTACGGAGGATACCGTCGAAGCTATTACGGATAAACATATCCTTGACGCCTAACTCAATATCGAAAACAACACTACAAAATCTTTACTTCCTGTTTTTCTTCTCCAATAAACTTCGTGAATAAATATTCCATTCTATTATGATCCTCACTATGATATTGTTCACCCAATTATATACACAAATATGAATATGTACAAATCACATTTATCGTGTTGCTAAAAAAGAGTAAAAATACTGTTGATTATTTTTCTATGATCTATAATTTACATATTAGTCTCTGTGACAGCTTGCTAAGAGAAGTTATATTGGTTCACTGTGTGCAAGTATACGAGTATGTGCATGTGAATATATATATATATATATGTACATGCATATGCATTTATATGTGTGCATATGATTATATATACGTATATGTATATCTGTGCTTAGATAAATAAATATAGGTAATTATATATACATGTGCATACATATTTGTATAAATATATACAACTGTATGTTTATATATATATACATATATCATGTCTTTACATATATATACAGACAAATTATTATACGTAAATAACCACACAGAGACATAAATAAATATATATTCACGTGTGCTTTGCAATATTCACGTGTGCTTTGCTTTACGTTCTGCCATTAGCTGCTATTTCCAACGTCCAAAAAATTGGAAAGATCGCCTGAGAGTTGCATGACTTGTATTAGTATTTTTTGCATTTGAAATCTATTGACATAATTCTATCCGCACCCGCCCACGCGCACACATAAAAATGCATGGCGTAAACACCCACACATTAACATGCACCCAAATACACTCACTCACATAGACACACACACATACGCACACATATATGTATGCATGTAGATATCCACATATATATGGATGAATATATTGATATATGTGTATGTATATATATTTCGGACATTTTAGACAGATCTGTCTGTGTTTGTATGCAATAAATAAAAAGGATCCCACAAGCACACCCTTAAAAACCTTCAATCATTTTCGTAAGTAAATGAATAGATAATTAAAAACATTCATGTATATGTGGAAGAACAAGGCATCATTTTGAAACAAACTTCCTACAGCAACAAAATTTAGTAACCTAAGCCAAGTTTCGCGGTGCCACGTTCACGAAAAAGTACTTTGCGGTCAAGTTAGCGCTAATTCTTACCTTTGTATAATTTGACTTTGAGTTAGCTTAAAGCTCTCAGTGACTATTTATATCTCACAAATCACAATTTAGTAATCCATACAGATATAAGAAGACGGCGACACACGGAACACGCATGGTTGAATAATATAACATCTGGAGTTATGTGCATATATTTACGTATCACATGAAAGGAACGCTCAATACAATATTACTTATCCAGTAAATTTTTCACACTGGTTTATTTTTATTTATTTATTTATTTGTAATTATACATAATAACCCAATGAAAAAGATGAAAATGGAAATCTTATGCTCTCATTTGAAAACATGTGTTTGTGTGTGTAAGTCATGTATATTGCATACACAGATGTTTAGGTTGATATAGACAAAATAATATATGTAGAGACAGATGTATAAATATATGCATATATATGTATGTTTACATATATACACATACATGTAAACGTGTGTGTGTGTTTGTGTGCATATATGTAAGGATTTATAGTTATATATCGTACATACAAATAAGCATAGGCATATATATACAATATGTATCATATATATCATACTCCCATATTAGATCTATATTGAATTATAGCTAGCTGAATCTATTTACGTGTCCCTATATATGTAAACACATATAAGTGTCAGTTATATTAGATATTTTTGTATATTCAAGGACTTTCTGGAAAACGTTACGCGAGTAGCCTTGGCAATTGTCCTGCAACATATAAAAGGTGTGCCTCCTTGCTGTAGATGCACAGTCCTCGCTGAGTTCACAACAAGAACATATTCTCAACATGAAGTTGGTGAGCACATATGTAATTATGAATATATGATACTCATATGTTTTTTTTTTGTGAGTTTGTGTTATTTCTCTGTACATCAGTTATCATTATTTCCATAAGCATTATCCTTATTACAACTACTATTATTGATACTAGTAGTAATAGCAGCAGTAATATTTATCTTTCATTTTATGCAAACCATTACCTTGAGCTTGCTTCTAAATTACATCTGTAAAAGGCTAATTAAGAAATGCCCTTTTCATTTTTTGCTCTTAACCGTTTTAATTTCATAACAGATCTCGTTTGCTCTGTTGCTGGTGGTGGCCCTGGCATGCCTGGTCAACTGGAGCAGTGCCATGCCTGAGCCTGACCCCGTGGCTGACCCTGACCCTGGCTTCCGTCGCTTCGGTGGATTGGGATATGGTGGACACGGCTACGGAAGTCGTGGATACGGCTACGGGGGCTACGGCTACGGAGGATACCGCCGAAGCTATTACGGATAAACATATCCTTGACGCCGAACTTCTACTTACTGTTCTTGAAGATATCGAAAGCAACACTACACAATCTTTACTTCCTGTTTTTCTTCTCAAATAAACTTCGTGAATAAATGTTTCATTCTATTATGATCCTCACTTTGATACTGTTCACGCACTTATACAAATATGAATATGTACAAATCGCATTTATCGTGTTGCTAAAGAAAAGTAAAAATATTGTTGATTATTTATCTATGGTCTATACTTTACATGTTAGTCTCTGCGACAGCTTGCTAAGAGTTATATTGGTTCACTGTGTGCAAGTATACGAGTATGTGCATGTGAATATATATACATGTACATGCATATGCATTTATATGTGTGCATATGATTGTATATAAGTATATGTATGTCTGTACTTAGGTAAATAAATATAGGTAATTATATATATACATGCATACACATTTGTATAAATATATACAACTGTGTGTTTATATATACATATATCATGTGTTTACATATTTATACAGATATATATACTTACACGTAAATAACCACACACAGACATAAGTATGTATATATATATTCACGCGTGCTTTGCTTTAAGTTCTGCCATTAGCTGCTATTTTCACCGTCCAAAAAAATGGAAAGATCACGTGAGAGTTGCATGACTTGAACATGAAATTAGTCTTTTTTGCATTTGAAATCTATTGACATAATTCTATCCACACCCGCCCACGCGCACTCATAAAAACGCATGGCGTAAACACCCACACATTAACATGCACCTAAATACACTCACTCACGCAGACACACATACGCATATGTATGTATGTAGATATCCACATATATATGAATGTATATATTTATATATGTGTATACATATTTCGGACAATTCAGGTACATCTGTTTGTGTCTGTATGCAATAAAACAAAAAAAGAATCCCACAAGCACACTCCCAAAAACCGATACCTTCAATCTTTTTCGTAAGTAAATGAATATGTAATTCAACTAGATTAAAATATTTATGTATATGTGGAAGAACAAGGCATCATTATGAATCACACTTCCCACAGCAACAAAATTTAGTAAACTAAGCCAAGTTTCGCGGTGCCACGTTCACGAAAAAGTACTTTGCGGTCAAGTCAGTGCTAATTCTTACCTTTGTATAATTTGACTTTCGGTTACTTTAAAGCTCTCAGTGACTATTCTTATCTCACAAATCCCAATTACTTCAAATAATCCTCACAAACATAGGAGGACAATGACGCATACGGAACACACATTGTTGAAATAACATAACATCTGAAGTTATGTGTATATATTTACGTATCACATGAAAGGAACGCTTACTAGAATACTAGTAAACCTCACACACTGGTTTATATATACCTATAATTCATTGTTATACCAAATAACCCAATGAAAAAATGAAAACGGAAATCATATGTTCTCATTTGAAAACATGTATATGCATACACACATGGATACACAAATGTGTGGATGAGTGTAAGTCATGCATATTGCATATACAGAGGTTGATATAAACATAACATCTGTGTAGACAGATATATAAATATATACATACATATGCTTACTTACATATACACAAACATGTAAACGTGTGTGTTTATGTGCATATATGTAAGGATTTATAGATATATATCGTATATACACATAGGCATATATATACAATATGTATAATATATATAGTTTACTCCCATATTAGATCTATGTTGATTTCCAGCTAGCTGAACCTATTTACGTGTCCCTATAAATGTAAACACATATGAGTGTTAGTACGTGCGTATGCGTGTTTGCGTGTGTGTTCGCATCTCTATTTGTAGATATATTAGATATTTTTGTAGATTCAAGGACTTTCTGGGGCATATTACGCGAGTAGCCTTGGCAATTGTCCTGTGACATATAAAAAGGTGTGCCTCCTTGCTGTACATGCACAGTCCTCGCTGAGTTCACAGCAAGAACATATTCTCAACATGAAGTTGGTGAGCACATATGTAATTATAAATATATGAGTGTGTTATTTCTTTACACATCAGTTATCATTATTTCCATAAGCACTATCATTATTACAACTACTATTATTGATACTAGTAGTAATAGCAGCAGTAATATTTATCTTTCATTTTATGCGAACTATTACCTTGAGATTGCTTCTAAATTACATCTGTAGAAGGCTAATTAAGAAATGCCCTTTTCATTTCTCGCACTTAACCGTTTTAATTTCATAGCAGATCTCGTTTGCTCTGTTGCTGGTGGTGGCCCTGGCATGCCTGGTCAACTGGAGCAGCGCCATGCCTGAGCCTGACCCCGTGGCTAACCCTGACCCTGGCTTCCGTCGCTTCGGTGGATTGGGATATGGTGGATACGGCTACGGAAGCCGTGGATACGGCTACGGGGGCTACGGCTATGGAGGATACCGCCGAAGCTATTACGGATAAACATATCCTTGACGCCGAACTCCTACTTACCGCTCTTGAAGATATCGAAAGCAACACTACAAAATCTTTACTTCCTGTTTTTCTTCTCAAAAAAACTTCATGAATAAATATTTCATTTTATTATGATCCTCGCTATGATACTGTTCACGCACTTATATACACATATGAATATGTACAAATTACATTTCTCGTGTTGCTAAAGAAAAGTAAAAATATTGTTTATTTTTCCATGATCTATACTTTACATGTTAGTCTCTGCGACAGCTTGCTAAGAGTTGTTATATTGGTTCACTGTGTGCAAGTATACGAGTATGTGCATGTGAATATATATACATGTACATGCATATGCATTTATATGTATGCCTATGATTCTATATACATATGTGTATGTCTGTACGTAGGTAAATAAATATAGGTAATTATATACAAATGTGCATGTACATTTGTATAAATATATATAACTGTATATGTATATATATCATGAGTTTAGATCTATATTAATATATATACTTCCACTTAAATAACCGTCCACGCGCACACATAAAACCACATGGCGTAAACACCCATATATCAACATGCACCCAAATACACTCTCTCACACAGACACACACACACATACACACACATATGTGTATGTATGTAGATATCCACATATATATGGATATACATAATGATATATGTGTATGTATATATATTTCGGACATTTCAGACAGATCTGTCTGTGTCTATGCAATAAGAAAAGGATCCCACAAGCATGCTCCCAAAAGCCGATACCTTCAATCTTTTTCGTAAATGAATAGATAATTCAACTAGATTAAAACGTTTATGTTTATGTGGAAGAACAAAGCATCAATATGAATCACACTTCCTATACCAACAAAATTTAGTAACCTAAGCGAAATCTCGCGTTGCCACTTTTGCATTCAAGTCAGCGCTAATTCTTATCTTTGTATAAATTGACTTTCGGTTAGTTTAAAGCTCTCAGTGACTATTCATAATTATTTCAAGTAATCCTCACAGATATAAGAAGGCTATAACGCATACGGAACACGCATGGTTGAAATAACATAACATCTGAAGTTATGTGCATATATTTACGTATCACATGAAAGGAACGCTTACTAGAATACTGCCTTATCCAGTAAACCTCACACACTGGTTTATATATATCTATAATTTATTATTATACAAAATATCAAAATGAAAAATATGAAAACGGAAATCATATGCTCTCATTTGAAAACATGTATGTGCATACACACATGGATACACAAGTGTGTGGATGTGTGTGCAGGTAATATATATTGCATACACAGAGGTTGATATAGACAGAATAATATATGTATAGACAGATATATCAACATATATACATATATATGTTTACATATATATACATACATGTAAACGTGTGTGTGTGTTTGTTTGCACATAAGTAATGATTTATAGATATATATTGTATATACAGATAGGCATAGGCATATATGTACAATATGTATCAAACATATCATATTCCCATATTAGATCTATATCGATTTATAGCTAGCTGCATCTATTTACGTGTCCCTATATATGTAAACACATATGAGTGTCAGTACGTGCGTATGCGTGTTTGCGTGTGTGTTCGCATCTCTTTTTGTAGATATATTAGATATTTTTGTATATTCAAGGACTTTCTGGAGCACATTACGCGAGTAGCCTTGGCAATTGTCCTGCAACATATAAAAAGGTGTGCCTCCTTGCTGTACATGCACAGTCCTCGCTGAGTTCACAGCAAGAACATATTCTCAACATGAAGTTGGTGAGCACACATGTAATTATGAATATATGATACTCATATGGCTTTTTTGTGAGTGTGTTATTTCTTTACACATCAGTTATCATTATTTCCATAAGCATTATCATTATTACAACTACTATTATTGATACTAGTAGTAATAGCAGCAGTAATATTTATCTTTCATTTTATGCAAACCATTACCTTGAGCTTGCTTCTAAATTACATCTGTAGAAGGCTAATTAAGAAATGCCCTTTTCATTTCTTACACTTAACCGTTTTAATTTTATGTCTACAGATCTCGTTTGCTCTGTTGCTGGTGGTGGCCCTGGCATGCCTGGTCAACTGGAGCAGTGCCATGCCTGAGCCTGACCCCGTGGCTGACCCTGACCCTGGCTTCCGTCGCTTCGGTGGATTGGGATATGGTGGATACGGCTACGGAAGTCGTGGATACGGCTACGGGGGCTACGGCTACGGAGGATACCGCCGAAGTTATTACGGATAAACATATCCTTGACGCCGAACTCCTACTTACCGCTCTTGAAGATATCGAAAGCAACACTACACAATCTTTACTTCCTGTTTTTCTTCTCAAATAAACTTCGTGAATAAATGTTTCATTCTATTATGATCCTCACTATGATACCGTTCACGCACTTATAAATGAAAATATGAATATGTACTAATCACAATAATCGCGTTGCTAAGGAAAAATGTCTCTGTGATAGCTTACTAAGAGAAATAGATTGGTTGACTGTGTGCAAATATGTGGGCATTTGAATATACATTTGTATATGTGTGCGTATAAGTATATATATGTATGTCAGTACGTAGGTAATTAGATATAGAAAAGTACATATATATACACGTAAATTTATAGATATATACAACTGTACATGTTTATATACATACATATTTATGGGTATAAATATATATATATACTTGTGCGTAAAGAACCACACACACACAATATATATATATATATATAAACATCCGCATGCGTGCTTTGTTTACGTTCTGCCATTAGCTGCCATTTGCGCCGTCTAAAGAAATGAAAAGATCAGTTGAAAGTTCATGATTTAAAGATAAAATTAGTCTTTCTGACACTTGAAAGCTTGTTCTACCGACGTAGTTCTTCAATACAGACCCGCCAAACGCACACATAAAAACACTTGGCGTAAGCACTCACATATATACATGCACCTAAATACACTCACACACACATATATGTATACAAACATATGTGTATATAGATATATATATGGGTGTATATATACATATGTGTATATATATCCGGACATTATAGACTGATCTGTATGTCTGTATGCAATAATAAGAAAAAAAATCCACAGGAACACTCCAAAAACCGATACTTTTATTCGTTTTCTGAAATGTACTGTACATAAATCCAGACCTAAATTGTATAAAAGCACAACGCACATGTATGATTCAAAAAGAAGTCCGTAAGTAAATGAATATATAATTCAACTAAATTAGAATATTCATGTATGTGGGAGACCAAGGCTTCATTATGAATCACACATGGCAACATGGCGGTCTAATGGTGCCACGTTCACGAAAAAGTACTAATTCTTACCTTTGAATAATGACTTTCGGTTAGTTTAAAGCTCTCGGTGAATATGCGCATGGAAGATAAATATGATAATAGCTAAAACAGTGATAATGATTAATATCAGGAGTCATTGAACCTCGATATATCATTATTTTTCATTTGTTTTTTGTTATTGCTACTGTTATCAATATTATCGTCATTATCATCACTATCATTCTGTATTCCTGTACGTATCTTCGCGTCTGTCACTCTGTTTTTGTTTTGTTTTTTTCGCTTGGCAATTTACAGTATTCTAGCCTTGGGTTGGATATATATCATTAAAGTCTTCATATTGGAGCTCATTTCTTGTCTTTCCTCAGACAAATATTTCCCTGCAAATCAAATTTCCATAACAATTGCCACTTTTCTTATAAAAGTTTTAATACATTAAAACACATGAAAAAATCAAATCATATTTAAAAACAGTAAGCTTTAGATTGGTTATTTTCCCATTACCTCTAAATGATTCAATTTATCTGTTTAAATTTATTTCACGTCACAATTCGAGTTATACTCACAGTCATGAGAAGGCAGCGACGCATAGACAATGTGTGGATGCGTGTTTGTGTGTGTAAGTCATGTATATTGAGTACACAGATGTATAGGCTGATATAGACAGAATAATATGTGTATAAACAGATATATATACACATATGTATATACACATATGTATATACACATATGTATATACACATATGTATATACACATATGTATATACACATATGTATATACACATATGTATATACACATATGTATATACACATATGTATATACACATATGTATATACACATATGTATATACACATATGTATATACACATATGTATATACACATATGTATATACACATATGTATATACACATATGTATATACACATATGTATATACACATATGTATATACACATATGTATATACACATATGTATATACACATATGTATATACACATATGTATATACACATATGTATATACACATATGTATATACACATATGTATATACACATATGTATATACACATATGTATATACACATATGTATATACACATATGTATATACACATATGTATATACACATATGTATATACACATATGTATATACACATATGTATATACACATATGTATATACACATATGTATATACACATATGTATATACACATATGTATATACACATATGTATATACACATATGTATATACACATATGTATATACACATATGTATATACACATATGTATATACACATATGTATATACACATATGTATATACACATATGTATATACACATATGTATATACACATATGTATATACACATATGTATATACACATATGTATATACACATATGTATATACACATATGTATATACACATATGTATATACACATATGTATATACACATATGTATATACACATATGTATATACACATATGTATATACACATATGTATATACACATATGTATATACACATATGTATATACACATATGTATATACACATATGTATATACACATATGTATATACACATATGTATATACACATATGTATATACACATATGTATATACACATATGTATATACACATATGTATATACACATATGTATATACACATATGTATATACACATATGTATATACACATATGTATATACACATATGTATATACACATATGTATATACACATATGTATATACACATATGTATATACACATATGTATATACACATATGTA